GTGGAGATCTTTTTTAAACGTTGGAACCTCATTTAATTTTATGTCTTATAGAGTTTATAATGAGTAAAAGATTATATAAGCATAATAATTTATCTGTAAACCTAGAAATGTACAGCCAATTTTGAAAGAGATGTACCCTAGCTCAGAAAAATGTTATTGAATAGGTTAATGCTGTTGTAATGAAATGCTTCTTCTAATTAAAAAAAAAAATAGAAGCTAAAAAAAAAAGATAGCTCCTCAGATTCAGTCAAATATTATAACCTACTTACAAATTTTTTAGCAGTCCAATAGAATTCTTTTCTCAAAAGACACATGTAAAAATCCATGACCTAAAAGATAAAATATACTTTCACAAGCAAGGTATCATTTGCACAAATTAAGATAAAAATCAGGTTGGGTGATTCAATCTGATAATAATCTTTCAAAACAACAACAACAACAACAACAACAAATAACAGTCACTGTAGTCTAATAAAATAGAATAAAGGAGATTGGATCTAGGGCCTTGCACCTGCTAAGCAATCGCTTTATTACTGAGCTGGAGCCTCAACTCAGCTTTTGCCTTCTATTTTAAGACGAGGGTCTTGGTAAATTGGATAATCTTTCTGCCTCAGCTTCCCAACTAACTGTCCCACCGAGCCTGGAAAAACACAAATTTTTATGTCTCATACCAATATTTTCATCTTTAACGGTGTTCCAGTTCTTTGTACATTTTTATTTAGGATTTCTTTCATTGTTTTTATGCTAAGAATTTACAGTTCTTATGGCTAAATTGAAAAGTATGTACATTCACAAAATAAATATGTCAATGTATGTGAAAAAGAAAACCCCAGCCATGCTAAATACTTCCAGGAAGAAAAAGCCATTACATCTTCGCAAAGGGATTTTTGCTGACTTGGAGGTGGGTGATGTACTGCACACTCAGTTGACAGATACTTGCCAATTTGTAATTTCCTATACTACGGTGTCCCAAATGAAAGCAGGCTTTGTGCAGACTGGTGGAGCCATTAAAAATGTCAAAGAGCTGGGCGTGGTGGCGCACGCCTGTAGTCCCAGCACTTGGGAGGCAGAGGCAGGCGGATCTCTGTGCGTTCAAGGCCAGCCTAGTCTACATAGTGAGTTCCAGGACAGCTGGGGCCACAGGAAGACCCTGCTTCAAAAAGACCAAAAAAAAAAAAGTCAAAGAACACATGTATACCCAAAGATGCTGAATTATCATTTCAGATGGGTGAAAAATGACCTTAAAAGCTTATATTATATTGGTGAAGCCTTAAAAACCAATGATTGGTGGTTATGGTATTTTAGATAATTTTTAAAAATTTCTAAGTAGATAGCCATACATCCTTGAAAAATAATTGTTTACCCTCTTCCTTAAAGACTCCAGTTGTTCTTTCTCTCTCTCCCTTCCTCTCTCCCTCTCATCCTCTGGTGTGTGTGTATGTGTGTGTGTGTGTGTGTGTGTGTGTGACCACAGTTTGACCTCTGGTGTCGTTCCTTAGAAGCTGTCCACTGTATAATATTGTAAATTATTCCTTATCAAGCATTCTAGAGAGATATAGACAGAAATACACAGATTTTGTGCACACACACACACACACACACACACACACTCATAGTTGAAGTTTTAAAGAAAATAATTGTTGATGGAAACAATTTTATTCTTGGATGTTTCCTGAGAATGCTAAAAAATAAATATGTATGTATGTGTTCAGTTGCACATATCTACACACACACACACACACACACACACACACACTCATAGTTGAAGTTTTAAAGAAAATAATTGTTGATGGAAACAATTTTATTCTTGAATGTTTCCTGAGAATGCTCTATACTGATAGGAGACACTAGCCTAAAAAGCAAAAGATTCCCAAGTAGGATAAATAAAAATAAAACTACATCTAGATATACCATAGTAAAACTTCACAAACCCCAACCAGGAAAAGATCTAAAAAATAAGGGGGAAACCTTTTATGTACAATAATAAAATGGCTAGTTGAAGTTTTTACAGAAACTGGAGGCTATGTGCTTAAACAACAACCAACACCTGTTAATTTTATAACCAATCAAAACCCAAAAAACTAAAAACGACAAGATTTGTGAATCACAGTCCCATACTAGACAAAATACTAGAAAACCCTTCACCTAGAAGGAAACATGTTCCCAGACTCTATATCGTTATTCAGGGGGAGAAGGTGCAAAGGCTTACATATGTGAGCTAATCTCAATGAATCTTCACTATAGCGATTCTTACAGAATTTAAAATATACATGAGACTAAAATACACAGTATTTATGTATTCATGAAGAAGGACAAATGAGTTTATTTTCTATGGACTTTGTATTGTCTAAGAGGTAAAAATGTCAACAGTATCAAGCTTTTCTAAGTCCAAGAACATTAGTTTAAGTGCTTATAGCCTCCCTAAAAGAGTAATCAATCACATGGTTAATTGCAATACTAAAAAATAATTTACAAGTTAGCTAAGAAGGAAAATGGCAGGAAGGAAAAGGACAAATATAGGATAGATATAATACATAGAAAATATAGAGTAGTTTATTTAAACCAATATATGTCATTAATTACATAAGAGGTAAATGGCTTCAAATAAAACTTTCGTAATGGATTAAAGATAAAAACAAAAGTTCTCTGTGATATTTACAAGAGACTTGGAGAAAGGATGGAAAGTGATATATGACATAAACACTAACTGAAATAAGGTTGGTATAACTACGTTGATAACAAGATAGATTTAAGCCAAATGGCATATTCGAGGCCAGCAGAGACATAACAATGAAGATTCAGTTTTGAATCTGTAAATGCATAATATGATAATATGGCCTAAAAACATGTACACAGAAGGAAAATGTTCAGTAGTTGAAAACTGAGTATGAGGTTTCTGTAGGTATTTTAAAATAGATTGTTATGAAATTAACGTGTTCCCTTTCTAACATTTTCTTAGTTTTCCGAGTTTTATAATAATCGAGGAATTGTACTGTTCTATTTATTATTTTAAAAACTGTATGTGCATGAGTGTATTGCTTGCATATGTGTAAGTGTACTCATGTCACGCAATGCCCATGGAGGTCAGAAGAAGGCATTGAGTTCCCTTGGAACTGGAATTACAGATGGTTGTTAGACATCATGTGGGTGCTGGGTATCAAACCCAGGTCTTCTGCAAGAACAGCCAGTGCTCTTAAACTGAATTATCGCTCTAGCCCCAGAATCAAGAAGTTTTAAATGAGAAAGAATTAGATGGAAGAGCCACCAGATTCCAAGGTTTCTTAGGAAGCTAATAAATCTGTACAGTTTAGAATTGGTCTAAAGAACAATAAATAGACCAGAAACCTCAGAAACAGAACCATATATTGAAGGCATTTTGACTTAGAGATCATGTCTCATGTGCAACCTTGGGCAAGACTGTCAATCTTTCTGAATTTTAGTTTTTTCATGGGGTGAGGGGGACAGTACCTTAATTTTTTTTCTCTTTTGCTGAATTGTCTCAAAGATATAAAATCTTGGGGAGAAAACATGCAGGAAACCCGTAAAGACTGTAAAGTATTTTGCTGACTGTCAGAGGGGTGGAAACAGTGCTTATATTGCTGAGGTTTTGGAGGCATTCTCTGGCTGTCTGGCAGTGTGTGCAAAGCTCTTTCTAACATATAGCCTGGAATACCTGCTTCCCTCCTGCCTTCTGTGCAGAAAGAGGGTCAAGGAGATTGACACCAACCTAGTGGGCATATCTGATAATTCAGATATTCCAGGCTCAAAAGCAATGTGTGTTTGTCAAGCAGATGTTAATCAGGTTGACAAAGGAAAAGTTCACAGAACTTTCATTCAGTCTTTATAAATTTGATTGCTACAGGTTCCACCCTCATCGTGGACTGCAATATAACAGATGTGAAGGAGAATAGCAACCTGCGGTGCTGGAGAGCACACGGCACACTGGTGGATGAGTATTACAAGGACAGCAAACGCATCAGGGAAGGAATCGAGTAGGTGCTGCTCTTGGGGCTTCTCTACAACTAGCAAGAGTTACTCCATCCACATTGATTTGCTTTTACTACAGCTGTTAGTCCAGCTGCCTCCTTATTTCTGCCCTTGACTTTGTCTTTCAAAGGTCTTTATGTGCTATGTGGGGCCAGGCATCTGCCTGAACAAGTGTGAGATGCTCTTGGTACCAGCTATCAACCCAATTAGGGACATGTGTCAAAACATGAACTGCGCCTTAGAGAAACAGCATCTATGTCTGTCAAGTGATAATCAAAACCATCCATTTCTTTCAGTTAGTTGCATTATGAGCCTCTGGCCTTCAGTATGAAAATAACAAAACAAAGTTTAATGTAGGGTGTATTGGGGGAGAAAGCACAGTTGGGAGTAAACTGTGAAATGCAATTTATGGCACTGTAATTTGAGTAGTGTAAATGAAATCAGGATTAATGAACCCAGAGGGTTTAAAATGTGATGAGCCCTGCTGTGTGGGCAGGGGATATAATTAAGGCTGGAGATGGGGTCATAGTCAGAAGAGCAATACTTTTTTGTGACTTTCCAGAAAAAAAAAATATATGATTTCCATATATTGAGCTGCTTCAGGAAGTATTCTTAGGGGAAAAATAATGGTCTAGAGAGTTCTACAGGGAGGTGGGGGCACTTTATCTCCAGAGTAAATCTGGCTCATGTTAATGGTTGACTCTTTTCTTTCTAGAACGAATGTTTCTTTGAAGGACAACATTTTTTACACAATGAACATAACGTTCTCAGAAGTGAAAATGGAAGACTATGGCCTGCCTTTCATGTGTCACGCTGGAGTGTCTGCAGCGTATATCATTCTGACACTCCCAGGTAAAGTGCAAGGTGTCACATGACACTCAGAGCATTGAAAAGATGGCTGGGAAATGCTTATGAGAGAGACGTAACATCACATGCTTGGTGTGAGGCAATGAGTGCTATTCAATGCTGCTTTTTTTCTGTGTCCTCGTCTCTGACAACCTCCCTTCCTCTATGGCTTCAGTTATCATCTCCCATGCAGATACAGACACATTTTGAATCTCCAACTGTGTTCTCTCTTCCTTCGTGGCAGCCCTACCTTTCCTTCTGTGTACTGGACTACAGATACACTGGACAAAGTTTGAAACACGTTTAATCTCTTAGACTTGCTGTTCTGACCTTTTTTAATTATAGCCATGTCTTCTACATCCTTCAGACTCAAAGTTTGATGTCATCTTGATCCCTTTTCTTATCTCATGACAATGGCCAACTCACTGCCTTGTTCTGTAGTCTTCTACAAGTCTGCCTGCTTCATCTGCCCCACCTGTACACTCTACTAGCAAGCTAGATCAGAGGCATGGGGCCAAGATAGGACTTAGCCATCAAGGTTTCCAGGCTCCAATTCTGGCTTTGTGACCTGTGCGACTATTCTGTCTCCAAGATTCCTTATCTTATTCTTATGATGAGAATCATAATCATTCCTTCTATACTATCATGGAAAAAAGTTTTAAAGAACAAATTGGAATTTTCTTTTTTCTTTTTGTTTTGAAATATAATGTACATAAAAGAAAGTATTCATAAAGTATACATATCACATAACAGTTATATTACAAATGAAATGCATCAAATACTACCATTTGTATTATGAAAAACAGATAAACTTTGTGAGACCTGAAGAATCCCCATGTCCATCCTGGCCAGAGCATTCTTTCCTATTTTGACTTATTTGCCTCCAAGTTTTTGGAAAGTTGTTTCTTTACTTTTCCATTTATGCTGATATCCTTTAAAAATGTGTCTTAGTTTTGCCTGTTTGGGGGCTTTATATTAAAGTATTTCTTCTGCAACTTGATTGTTTTCTTAGATACCTGAGATTGATGTGTTGATGCCCTGATGACGTAGCATGTAGCTGTTCCTTCATTTTCATTGCTGAAGCTTATTCCCTGGAATAACTAGGTCACAACTTATCAACTATACAATAAATATGTAGTCATTTGGGCTGTTTCCAGCCTGGGACAATTAACAAGCAATGCCACTGTGGACATTCCTGTGCATGCGTCCTGGTACCCATGTGGAGGCACTCCTTTTAACACATTTTTAAGAGTAGAACTGCCCAACAAGAGTCAGCTGTTGGCTTTTCTGCATCATATTTATCATTCCACATAGAATGTACCAACTTATACTCACCAAAGCACGTATCAGAAAATAAAATGAGATAATTCTGCAAAACCAACACAGAGCTTTACATTCAATGAGGTCTGAAAATCTGGGTTATTTTTGTCAGTCCTCTTACAGTTTGGATCATTGTTGTATGCTCTTTAGATAGTTGTATCAGTTTTTTAAATGATGCCCTTGCCTCAAAAACTTTCTTTGGTCCACTGTAAGTTACCTCTGCAAGAATGCCTAAGCCCTCTTACCTGACTGGATATTAATGCCATCTGCTTCCCTCTGGTAGGAAACCAATAGTTTTGGTTTGGCATTCCAGCCCTCCCTGATCTCTTCCCAGTCACTCCTCCCCGCACCCCCAGCCATCTCCTTTGTCTCCTCTATAGAGCAGTCAGACCAGAGCCAAAGAAGCCTCTTCCAAGGGCCTATACTTTAATGAAGGAGCTGGCTTTAAGCCAGTGAAGACAGGATCAGCTGGGAACAGGATAGAACCTGCAGGCAAGCTCTCCTATGGCACTCCAGTGACTTCCAGCAGAAATAAAGTCTGACATAAACCAAAGAGTTGGGACTTGGGGTTAACTCCAGAGAAAAGAGGAAAATATAAGGTTTGTAGACCAAACCTTGGAGACTCTATAACAACTAAAGTTACTTAAATCTCCACCCGCTTTAGCCTGTAAGATTGAGTGCTTTATTTAGTAGCCTAGCCTGAAGTTGGCTGATACAGACTTCTTTGCCAGTGCTGACGTGTAGGTGTGGACTACCTGGAAGCACTGTTCTTGAAGCATTTTGAGGCCAAGCCCAGGCTCAGAAGTAGGGCTAATGCTCTTACCAGTTAACACCTGTCAATCATGTAGGAGGAGCAGGGATTCTTGGTTCCCTTTGTTTTGGATCCCTACATAGGAAGTCTTTGCTAAATTTAATCTTGGTTTCTTCAGTGCTCTCTCATTTCACAGGCCACATGCAGTGTATTTTCAGAGAGGACCACTTTGTTTGCTGTTCTGAGTTCTTAGGAAGCCCACTCCCTTACATCCAAACCTCTTCTTGGTTTATTTGGTGGCAGCTTCTTCTTTTAACTTCCTCTTTGTTGTCGAAGATACCTCCAGATTTGATTTGTACTTGATTCATCTGAAGCAGGGTCAGGAGAAAGTTGTCTGGATGGGCTATCTTTCTGTGAGCTTTTTAAGGCATTACCCTTAATTTGTATCTCATTTGAAGGCTGATGGCAGTTAAATGAACTCAAATGACAAGTATCATTCTTAACAGGGTACCTAGTATATCCAGCGAGTTTTCCATTTATTTCTACTTCAGAGTCCCTAAACCTTTGAACATATTCACCAATAACCCATTCCAATGTCATAGTCTTTTATGTTTATCGAACTGAAGGTGTCAACATTCCCGAACACAATGAATGTTGCAGACTACACTCCTGTCTGGTTGCCAAGGGCTGTTCAAATCTCATAAATACTGTGGGCATATTCACGGCACAGTCAGATCATGGTTTGCAATCCCAAGATCTCTATCACAGATATTAACTATCCCAGTAAGGATCCTCCTGAAGGGAGAGGTAGTATTGCTCACACAACTGTGAAAAGAGCTGGCAAAGAGAAGCTCAGCATGGGCAGGAAGAGAGACACCATCCCATAATCAGAAGGCAGAGGACAGAGGTTATAAAGAAGGGCCAGGGCCAAAGTGGGCAAAAGCCTAGGGAGCTGGGACTTACTCCGTGGTCTGAGGGTTTTTTTTTTTCCTTTTTTGATTGATATATTTTTATTTTATGTGTATGAGTGTTTTGCCTGCAGACCCACAGAGGCCAGAAGGCAGCATAGGATCCCCTGGAACTGGAGTTACAGTTGTTAGCTGCCAGGTGGGGGCTGGGAACCAAACTCTGGTACCCTGAAAGAGCAACAAGTGCTCTTAACTGCTGAGCCCAATTTTGTTTTTGTTTTTTGGTGGGTATCAAGCACGTTTTTTGTTACTGTGCTTTGTTGTGCCATATATCTAAAAGACAAGCAAATTTTAGGCTTTCAGAGGTTTTCAAGGTGGTGTGGCCTGGGCAGGCTTTGATAAGCTCCTTAATGAAAGTGCTTGCTCTAGGTGTTCCAAACAAGAATCTCCTCTTTTTCCACACACCATCAACCCTACCATCCAGTCAGAGTGGGAGGGTCTGGGTGGGCTGGTGAAGGAAGTTGTGGTTGTGGTGGGTTCTAAGAATTAAGGAGAGGGATTTCTCTTCCTCTCTCTTTGTTCCCCCTTTTCTCTCTCTCCTTGGATACTCTCTCTTTGGCAGCACAGGTTTGGGTTGTGGGCACTTAGGGAGCTGCACGGTTCCTCTTTTTGGTATGTGGGAGCTGCTTCTAGAACCAGGACTTCCAGAGCAACTGGTTCTTCTCCCTGCTGTCTCCTGTCCATGTGCCTGACCTCATTGTTGCTCTGCAGAATGCTCACAGAGCAGAGCGGGCAGTGGGTGGGTACCTTGTCAGGGACTCTCAGACAGGTACCAGCCCTGACTCCAGGGGCCCTGAGAGGACTGGGTGAGGTCTAGCTCATGGCTGGTCTTGTGGAACCAGCAGAGATGGTTTCTAGAGAGAGAGAGCCAATGGCTCTTTATTTCTAACTGGAGACCTGCTGCTCAGTTCTGAGGGACTGGAGAGGCAGTATAATAGGGCTGTGGTCAAGAACCCCTAGTGGAACCCCTTGGTTCATTCTAGATAAAGCCAGGCTGTACCTCAGAGAGTTCCTGGATCCACATGCTTTAAAAGCAGCCTTCATGTCACTGGAGTCCTGTTTCTCCCGTGTCTTTACCCAAGACTTCCTGGCATCCCAATAGTCTATTTGTTCCTAAAATTCACAATCCAAATTAGATTATTCTATATCTGTACTCAGAAAGTAACTGTGATGTAGGAGCCCCACATTTCTCACCTGCCTTTGATAAGATGATCTGTATGTGTAATGGATAAAACTGACTCTATCACTATTTTTTCCCCTGTCATTTGTAGCTCCAGATTTCCGAGCTTATTTGATAGGTGGAGTCTTTGCTTTGTTACTTTTGGTCCTGTCTATTCTGTGCATCTACAACAGTTTTAAGATTGACATTATACTTTGGTATCGAAGTGCCTTCTATTCTACCCAGACTATAGACGGTAAGTATATACAGTCTTTGAAAAATACCTCAAGATGGGTGTCTACTCAATGTGCATGATCACTTTCAATGCACTTGGTCATGTTTTACAAAATGTGCTTTTCTTGTTATTGGAAAATTTAATGAACAGTTCCACAATGGAACTCCCTGTGCTTCAGAGAAATGATTTGTTCATGATTAGCAGCCTCCTTTGCCAAATGATCTAGAAGGCTGGAGTCCAGCAAGCAGTCACTAGGCAGTAGGGTCAGGCCATTCTGGGTCTCACTACACCTGAATGAGAAGGGTATCTCATCTTGGGGTCTCCAGCAGAGAGAAATGTCTGTGGGCTCACAGGCCTGTCTGCCATGATGTGCCCTCCGCACAGCACAAACTCAGTAGAGTCATACAGCGGAGAGTGAGGTGCGTTCCTAAGCCCTGCACTTGGTACCTGCAGGAATTCACATCTGTAGTTCTCAGAAGAGACCTGCCTGACTGTGAATTTGAATTCTCCATTGGACTCTGGGTGAGATTAGAAAGATATTTAATTTTCATCTATTTCTTAGCTATAGGAAGGGATGAAGGAAAGAGGGTGATTGGGAGGGAGCTAGAGAGGAAGGGGGAGAAGGGAGGCAGGTAAGGGGAGGAAAGAGAAGGGCATCAAATCCTGCCTCTAGCCATGCAGAAGTTATGAGATTGAGGCTGAGGAGAGCATTCTGCAGGACCCCGAGGCACAGGTGGTCCTCTGCCCTTCTGGAGGTCGGCTGTCGTCCTCTGTTCTCCTCAGGGGTCTCAGTGGTGTCTGTGCCCACTGCCATTTTCTTTCGTGGAAGTGCCTCAGTGTGTTCCTGGAAGTGCACAGCCAGCATTTACCTCCACTGTGGCTCTAACACAATGGAATTTTTTAGCATTTTAATCTCCGGAGGAACATGAACTATTAAGACCCCGGGAGGGGGGGAAGCAATAAATCTGCTTCAATGTTCCCAACTTGCCTACAAAAATTAATAAAATGTCAAGAGAAATCTATAGGACTGATACCCATGGAGATGAATAAGTTTATACCTTTCCAGTCTGGAGGTTTTTCTGCCAACAGGAGCAGGATGGCTGGGGAGTGCTGTGTTCAGGCACTTTTGACGAGTACCTAATGCACAGATGTCTCCTTGCACAGAAAAGTCACTGCAAAAATTATTGTCCTCATTTGATAAAACACAGATGCTGTAGCTTGAATTGTATATTAAATTAAATGTCAGAGTTCAAAATTGTCAACCCAGTTGTTGGACTGTGGCCCTATGGTAGAAAGTGTGCTTAAGATGTGCAAATGTCTAGGGTCAGGCCATTCTGGGTCTCAAGTACCAAGGAACAAAACAAAACAACCACAGAAATCTATAACCTCTGAGCACTGTAGCAAGCAACAAGCCCTGTGGTGATCATGCCACGCAGCTGTGGCCATCGCCTGCCGCCCAGCACAACCTGAGGTGCTGCAGATCTTCAGGCTGGGTATGCTCACTTTAGAGGTCACCTTGTCTCTGCCCCCTGTGACTGTCCTTCAGCCTGCCTCTGTGTGAGAGGAGGATTCTGTCCCATACCACTAGTTTCTTCTGACATGGAAAGGAGAGGCTTGGCTTCTTTCTAGTGTTTTGACTAACAGGGCTTTGTGTTGCTTCTTATGGTCTTTCTGGAAGGCCCAGACTCTCTTGCCCTTTGGTGTCTGTGCCTCTGACTCACTGAAACTCCCATGAGTGTGATTACAGCAGTGACTTACTTATGAGTATAGAGAGCATGGTAAAGCTATCTGGTAGTGAGGCTGAATTTGGCAGCAACAGAGCAGACTAATGACTCACCCCAGCCTAGCAGATAGTCCAACAGATGAAGCAGCAAGACCCTGCTTTCCCGAGACCAGCTCAAGCCAGACTATACAACCAGAGGGCAGGGGCTTTGGAGATTGGAACTTCGCCTCCAGGATCTCTTTTTTCTTTTTTAATTCTGGAAAGCGTGTGTGCTTTAAAATTTTCTTATCTCTATCTGTGAGAACTACTTTGTAACAGCGCTTTGAATGCGGTCTTTAAAATGAGCTAGTGTTGAGCCTCTGGATTAATCTTGAGACCTGCTGGCAGCTTAGTCTCTCTTGAGGAGATTTTTTTTCTGACATATATAAAGAATGGTAAATATAAATATGAAAGAAAGATAAATTATATCCTTTTATCAAGGTTGTTTATACCAAGCAATTTAGTCCAGCACTACCAGAACATTCTTAGGTGAATTACATTCACCTGCAAGTTATAGTATGATGTCATTCACACACCTGGAAAGAGTCAGGGAGTTCTGCATTCTTAAGCAGTCATAGGTACTGTCAGAGTTTGCCTATTAGGTATGCCTGTGTGCACAAGACTGGAAGGATCAGTCAGTCACAGGTCTATTGAGATCTGTGTATACACCTAATCTTCATCCAGATTTAGGAAGAGTGTGCATGTGGAACAGGATGTTTAAAACTAAACCAAGCAGGTCCATGGGGAAGCAAATGGTAGAACAGCAAAATAAGCAATGGGCAGAGTTGATGACAGGTCTTGGTTTCTAGAGGTGAATTTGCCTTCAAAATTAAAGCAAAGTCAATTAATTCTGGCTCTTCCCAAAAACCTTTTGATTGTTCATGGAGGAATTTGGATCTTTCTGGGACTCGTTTCCAAAGGGAACTTGTTATGGAGATGAATTATGTAAGGAATCCGTGCTGTAACATTCCTATGGTACATGTGGTTGTGTGCTTTACCTGACTTTCTTCTAGTGTCTTCTATGCATGTTGGGGCTAGACACACTAATCCTCAAGAATTCAGTAAAGGAACTTACATAAAGTGCCTTTGAAATGGGGGTCTAAATTTTAATTAAATGCTTCATCAATTAAATCTGTCTGATATTGCCATTGCTCTGGGTCGGTCAGGTATAAATTATAGGAATGTAATACTGAGAGAAAGAAGGAGCCTAAATAACTAGCGTGTCTCTTTCACAAATATTAATCTGTACAAATGCATTTTGTAGGGTTTTTTGGAGGGTCTACAAATAATTCTATTGAAATTGAACAAATAACAAGTCTTCCTATGCTGGGCCCACAGCCATTTCCCACACTCTAGAAGCACAGAACTTCCTCAAATAATTTTTCTAAAGGCCATCTCTATACAGAAATCAGCTTCTGTCCCAATATCATCATAGTCTAGACTATTTACAAACTTTCACATCTTAAGTATTCCTTTTCTGTGCTTCCCCTTCTTTCTAGCCTTACAAAAGAGCTCCAGTACCTTTGCTTGACTGATTCTGAAGAGGTGACTATACTTTTGAAGAGGGGATGGTGGGCTCCTCGTAGCTATTGGTACCAGCCCTAGTGTGTTGCTTCTTACCACTGGGTGGTAAACAGCTCCTCCTCCATAACTGTGGGGAGGGAACTGGTGCAAAAATAAGGGCGATTAGACTAAGTATGTGGTTTGGGGAAAGTCCCCATAGGTACAGGTATTCACAGTCGGCCTTGACCCAGCAACTAGTAGAAATGAGGAAGGATCAGCCCAGACCTGGGTGAAAGGAGAAGCCTCCCACTCTGTCCCCATTCCTATTTAACAGCCAGCAAACTGTCCATCCTAGAATGAGAGCAAGTGGCAGGAAGGTGAGACCAATCGGACTGGTGCTGCCCCCGGTCTCTGTCCAATACAGGAGGAATTGAGGCAGCAAATGACTACTAGGGGTAAGGGAAGTAATGGAAAGGGAGTTCCCACTTGGGTACAGCCCCCGCAGCCCAGGGGCTGGAAGAATGCAGACTTTGCTTGTAAGGTGCTGTAGCTTCTCAAAGTGCTGGGCCCTAGGCAAGCTTGGAAGAAAGCAGGCCAGTCAAGGATCTAGGAACCAGGCATTTCTGACCAGGATATGCCCTGCCTTGCTTCTTGCAGGAGTGTCTGGGGAAGGTGGGCTGGTAACTCTGCCATTAGCCCTCACCAGCCACCATCTGCCTTTTGTTCAGACACGACCAATAGAAGTCAGCACCGAGGTGCTGCCCTCTTACAGCTGAAGGTTCTGGGTCAACGGAGGTTAGTTTATTCAGGGTCGTGGCACCGGCCTGGACTCCTGAATGGAAGTCACACCTTGAGCCTGGGAGTTTCTTGCCAGGGCAGTGGATGCTTGTGTCTGCCATATCCCAGGCTCACACTTCACAGAGGATCCCAGGGAAATCCGTGCGGATGTGGGAGAGGTGGGAGGAGAAGGGGGGGGCAAGGGAGAGAAGTGGGGAGTGGGGGTCCATCTTCATGATGCCCTGAAGAAGCAGATTTTTTTTTTTTTTTGTCTTTTTTTGAGACAGGGTCTCTTTGTGGCCCCAGCTGTCCTGGAACTCACTATGTAGACCAGGCTGGCCTCGAACTCACAAAGATCCGCCTGCCTCTGCCTCCCAAGTGCTGGGATTAAAGTCGTGCGCCACCATGCCTGGCTGAATCAGATTTTTATGTGCTCGCCTCAGCTTGGTCTATTTTTGTCAATCTTGGTGACGATTGTTTCCTCATAAAATTCCCGAGCCAGATCCCCATCTTCATCATAGAACACAGAGCCGCTGTGCGTGAATACAAAGGGAGGCATTGATGGGGTTTGAGACCTCATCAAAGACTGCTCAGTGCCCGCTTGAAGCTGCCATGGCCTTTTACAGCCTTGGCTGAAATTATTGTAGGTTTTGCAGACAGCCAATAAGGGCATATACAAATGCTTTAACACTGAAAGCAGGATTAATTCTCCTGAGAGAGTTTAAAAGTTTGGCTAGGAAAAACTAAACTGCCAACCTCTCATCTAGAAGGGAGGGTGTTGGGAGCAGCAGCCAGCGCAGCCCAGTTTCCTTAGAATAGTCTCTGGTAGGGCTACATGTCTAGAATTTCTGAAATGCAGTTGGACAGCATCACCATCTCATGCAGTCTACTTCCATGCCCTCAGCTGCCTTTCCAGTAACTATGGCTGGGAAAAAAACCACCTCATGGTGTCCAGCAACAAAAACTTCCCCATGTAAGGCAGCCAGCCATCGGTTACAAAGTGGTCTTCTGAAGGATGAGAACCCAGTGCATTTTGAGAAACATCATCAAATCATATTTACTCCAGATCTCAGAGGGCAGATGACACAGTTAGCTCAGTGGCCAAGCATACAAGTGATCCTGGATTTGGTTCCCAGCATGGGAAAAAAATAAAAAAATAAAAAGTTTAGTTAGGGGAAAAAAAAAAGAAGACCAAAGTTTCAGGGCATTTTTATGTGAGAATTTGTGCCACCCAAATCTCTGTCCGAGTTTGGATCATTGTTCACAATGAAATCCTGTTTCTTGTCTTCTTGGAGGGAATGAGAGATATTGTCAAAAGAGAAACATTTAACCACTGCGTTTTCTTTTGTTTGTTTTTTAATCAAAACCAGTGTGTGTGGGGAGGGCAGTGAGAGAAGAGGGTGCTAGGGGCTGTGCCTGGGTCTGAGGAAGATAACAATGGGTACTGACATACTGCTCCTTGCTGTGACTAGAACACCACCAGCCAACCAACACTTCCCCAGAGATACAAGGATAAACACTTCAAAATCATTTTGTAGGGAAGCGTAATTCCTTTGTAAAAAGTTAAGAAATAAGAACTTTATAAAGTATCTCTTTCTCTGTCTCTTTATTCTTTTCTTTGGCTCAAAAAATCCTCAACTTTGAAAAGTCAAATATACATTACATTTTAAAATATTTTGCTTATTATTTGTGCGTGTGTGTATGTGTGTGTATTGCCTGCATGTATGTAAGTGCACCGGTGTCATGCAATGCCTGTGGAGGCCAGAAGAGGGCATTTGATTCAATTGAAACTGGAGTTATGGATGGTTGTTAGCTGCTGTGTGGGTGCTGGGAATTGAACCCTGATCCTCTGCAAGAGCAGCCAGTGCTCTTAACCACTGAACCATCTCTCCAGTTCCAACATTACATTTTATACAGAAAAGTGTATCTACTTCTTGGAGTGGTCATCCCGTCTGATGACTTTTAAGATTGCACAAGAGCTTCAGCTGTGTTGGATTTTGGCTTTTTCTAAACACCAATCAGTCCTTCCATTTCTTCTTACTGGTGACCCTAAAGCTGAGTCTACCCATAATCTAGAACCTCTTTGTTCCCAACCTAAATATACACTCTTTGAGTCTCAAATTAAGTTCTACTCAGATATTAGGTTCCTGTGGAAATCTCCCATGTACCAGGCCTTGCTCAGCTCCTTAACAGTTTCTTTTACAACAGGGTGTTGGGAGGCAGAAAAAGAGGGTGCATGCCTAAGCATGTGCATAGCTGCATGTGTGTACAGGCATGTGCATGTACAACCGTTCAAGTATTTATCCATCTGTGTTTGCATGAATGTATGGGTGTGCATGCATGCCTGAGCCTGCATGGGTGTGGGTATATTATTGTCCTCCAGATAACGATGAAGAGGGATGAAGGCCTCATAGCGATTTGTGTGATGCAATGGGATGTGGTAATATATAAATGTGTTCCATATCCATTTTAATTAGACAAAAAGTAGAAAAGCACACGATTTTTGTCTTATTAATGTCAGAACGACCTTTTTCTCCATGAAAAGAGGAAATCACAGATCCCTTCCTGGTGCCAATTAAGTTAGCTCTGGGCTTCCAAAGAGCCTAAAGCTCAAAATCCCATATTCCAGTGAGATGCCCACGCTTAGGCCTAACAACCTGCTCCACTCATTTCTCCCAATTCTGCTGAACTTCCTGAGTCATTCCTAGGACTCCAGAGAAGGACTTCAGTGCCCCATTTCACTTCTGTGTCAAGCTTTTCCTTTCACACTTGTCAACTATACTCTTAGACCTTCATGGTTTCTTCCCTACCCCACCCCCCACTGTTTCAAAACCAGGAGCTGTTGTTTCATGACCTCTGTGAATGTTGTTTATCAAGAACACCAGTGAGTAATTTTTCTTTTTTGTGTTCATTTGGCTGCTGTCATCTTATAGTGTCTTATGCTGCTTTATTTCTGTGTATGTGAGTGGGTTGTCTAGTTGGATGGTTTATCTTCACCCTGGTAAGCACAGTGATGGGTCTCCTGGTTGCTCAGTAAATACTTTTCCTGGTGGGCACTACGGCCGCATGTGCTATTGTGATGGACATCTCAGCACTGCATTGAAGATTCATAAAGTCCATTCAGAGGCTTGTTGTGTCTGTGCCGAATTTACTGTGGGCTTATGTTACAAGGGACTCAGCCCATTTTACCTAGTATAGTTAGTATCATCTTCCATTACCCAGGACCTGCAATTGTTGAGTCCTGGCTTCTGAAGTTCTCATTTTCATTTGCATCACAGGCAGTGGGAAACAGAATCAGAAGTCTTAGAGTGGAATTAGGAATTGCAGAAATAATGCCACTTATCCTGTCTCAGGTTAATTCCTCTGTAGTGAGAGTGAGACCATGTCCCCACTGGTCACCTGTGAGAATGCAGTGTGGGGGGCATGAGCTCCTAGTCAGCCAGCAGGGCACACAGAGGTCAATGGGCATCCCAATAGCACCTCAGGTTGCTCTTTGTTCAGTTGATTAAATTTGGTCCATGAGCTTATCCTTTTCCTTTTCAGATGAGAAAGTGTATGATGCCTATGTCTTATACCCGAAATGTCCAAGAGAAAGCCAGGGCCATGATGTGGACACACTGGTGTTAAAACTTCTGCCTGAGGTGCTGGAGAAGCAGTGTGGATATAAGTTATTTATTTTTGGCAGGGATGAATTTCCTGGACAAGGTATGTTTTAACTGAGGCATCAGACAACAACAACAACAAAAATGAAAGGCCAGATGTGGTGGTGCACACCTAGAATTGAACACTGAAGAGGTTAAGGTAGCAGGGCTTTGAGTTCAGGACCAGTTTTGATTGTACATAGAGGCCAGGCCATATGACAGACAAACGGACAACAACAAAAAGAAATGATGCCCCTCCCCTTTGTGTTACAAATGTCTGCCTTCCTCATGGAATTTTAAGAAGTCTGTGAATAGAGCCTCCCAGCCCCATCAGTCCCTACACTCAGAAGTTTCCTTTGCCTCATTAGGCTCATTGCTATAACACAATGTTAGGGAGTCCAGGTTTCAGTAATGTGAGTCTTTTGTGGAAGAAACGTTGTTGACCCATTTATACAGGCAGCCAATGATAGTTTTGGCCAAAACGCTAAAAAGACAAGTGGTCACTTACTCTCCTGTCACTGAGAATAGCTTGTGTAATTTCCCATTAGTTTGCATATGCAAATCAGTTTAGAGCTGATTTTATAAACCACAATTCCACCAGCTCCTCCTCTGTATTAGTTACTGTTCTGTTGATGTGATAAAGTACCCCGACAAAAGCAAGTTAGGGAAGAAAAGGCTTATTTTGACTTACAGTCCTTCATGGTCGGGAAGGTATGAAAACAGCAGATCTTGCAGTCAGGAGCCGACTGATCACATTTCACAAGAAGCAGTGGAAAAGAACAGGAAGTAGGGCCAGGCTGCAAAACCTCAAAGCCCACTCCAGTGTTGTACTTCCTTGAACAAGATTGTATCTCCTAAACTTTCCATACTTTCCCAAATAATGCCACTAGTTTTGGACCAAGTGTTCAAATACATGAGCTTATGTGGGACAGTTCATTTTCAAACCACAACGTCCTCTATCTTAGTAAAATGGAAAGTTTTTTATATACTTGGTTTACTAGGCATGTGACTTTGAGCAGTTCGTAAATACCAGTGGTCTCACTGGTGAGATAGTAAAAATGCTTCCCTGGCTTATCTGAGAGAGCCGGCTGAGGAAAGACCAGACAGGACACACCATTCACAAACCTTCCTCTTGTCTTCTTTGTTCTCTTTCTTGGAAGGCTACACATGAAAGTAACTGAATACTGAGATAAGCATCTGTTCCTTCTCACCAGGAAAAATAATTTTAACCTCATTATTAAACAGTGTTTATTGGATATCTCTACACACTGGGTAGCTTAGACACTAGAAATATAAAAACAAGCCAAATAGAAAAGGAATCTGTCCTTGGAGATGACAGTCTCTTCTTATACCCCATGGGATGCAACTATAGGACAAATAGAACATGTAGAGCTAGACACATAGAGGACTCTCCCCTATCCTCCCCAAGAAAGCATAGGGTTTGGGATTTGGCTTCAAAATTAGCTATACAAACCTGATCATTTAAATAACTATAAAGAACATGAAGAAAAACTCCTCTAAACTACCTAAAAACATGCTCAGCCTTCCTCTGTGGTCTCTGCCTCAGTCCTGCCTTGGCTTCCCTTGATGAAGGACTGTAATCTGTAAGCCAAATAAACCCTTTCTCTCCCCGCTCATAATATGCACATTTTACAGCGTACTCCAGACTTTCTGCTGTTATGGGCATACAGAATCAAGTACAATGAGATGATAGTTTGCGGGAAACAGGGAAAAAGATATAGCCACCGAGAACAAAAACACAACATAAACACCAAATCAAACAAACAAGGAGCAGTTGGTGATTACAGAGGACCAACGGCAAGAAGATGGTGCAGAACGGTGATAAATGTCACCACTTTTTATGCATCCATTTTGTACCTAAGTCCTGCCTATTTTCAAGTGCCTTTTCTCTTCTCAGTGCACATTTCTCACATTCCTGACAGCATTTCTACCTTGCTGTTTTCATACTGGGGTTTTCTGAAGCTTTGTTTTCTATTTCTAGCTGTGGCCAATGTCATTGATGAAAACATTAAGCTCTGCAGGAGGCTGATTGTCATTGTAGCCCCTGAATCGTCCGGCTTTAGCCTGCTAAAGAACATGTCAGAAGAACAAATTGCTGTCTACAATGCCCTCATCCAGGATGGCATGAAAGTCATTCTGATTGAGCTGGAGAAAATTAAGGACTATAGCACCATGCCCGAGTCGATTCAGTACATTCGACAGAAGCATGGGGCCATCCGGTGGAGTGGGGACTTTGCAGAGCAGTCACAGTGTGCCAAGACCAAGTTCTGGAAAAATGTGAGATACCGTATGCCACCCAGAAGGTATCCACCATCTTCCCCTGTCCAGCTACTGAAACACACCCTGCAGTTGCATGGCAGGCAAGTGGGATGTTGACATGGGGTTCGTCACCCGCTGACAGGCAGCTGTTGCCATGTGGTGGCTCACAGCTACATGAGGACACAGTGTTGGTCTGTCTGCCTCTGTAGTTTCCTTTCTGTACGTGTGCTTGTTCTTGTTATTTGGGGGGTTGCTTTTGATCAGAGCTACTTCTTCAGGCAAAATGTATCACCCTTGTTAGCTTCACAGCTCCTGAACACGGGGTGGCATTGACATTGGCACTCCAGGGGAGTGGGATACAGAGGGTTGTTGAGGTGACAGTTCAGCTGGTCAGGATATTTGGCCCATGTCTGAGATGAGAGGCTGGTCAGTCTTGGGATGCCAGGTGGGCAACCCTGGGGAAGGCTGGCAAGGAGAATAGCCCATTGTCTGTGTCTGTCCAGTGTTGAGGTGAAGCATCAACTCGATCACTTGGTCACTGAGCAGAGCAGTGCCGAGTGACTCCAGTTCCTGGACACCTTCACCATCAACCAGCAGGGCGAGCTAAAGGATTAATGACCATTCAAAAATAAAGCAAAAAGTGTACTCACGACCTTGCCAGTACTAAAGAAACATCTAAGCAATAAAGTGGAAGAGATGAACCAAGATTTGGACATTAGAATGTTACTGCTATTCTCTAAGAAACCAACATCTTCAGAGGGAACGCACCAGCAAGTGTCCATCAGGCTGTGTCCCAGGAACCTACACAGGTACAGGAGAGTGCTCTTCCCAGTTTCAGTGACCACTAACTTTATTTTTTTTCCTAGTTTTTACTGTTTTGGTAATATGAACCAAAAGAAGAAATATTAATACCACATGGGGATTTCCCCCAACCAAAGAAATCTGAAATATATAGTGAATGCTCTTTTTTTCCCTTTGTTGTTCATTTTGGATGCTGGTGCTAAACTTCCAAGCATCATGATTTAAAAGAAATTGTATATCTTTATTTATTTCTAGGATGAGGGGAGGATGACATTTTTGCTTTCTATGTAACTCTCTTTGAAAATGTGTAGTACTAAGTTCCTCAAAAATAAAAATTTTACCCTTCAAGGAAAAAAAAGGTTCTGGTCCTTAAGGCAATATTGACTGGATTCAAACCTCCCTCACTCTCCCATTACAGATAGAGAGGTGAAACTCTAGTCTTAGTATGATGCCCTTGGAAGCTACTTTAAATTACCTGGACCAGTGGACTCCACATTTTGAAAGATTCTCTGTCAGACCATATTAAGACTTAAAAAAACAAACAAAAAAAAACCCCAAAAACTTTCCTTTTAGAGATATGTACCCAACAGTATTCTGAGGAGCATTTGAGAGCTATAAATTATCACACTGGGGAGATGATTCCAACTCAAGTAAACCAGTGTAAGCTTTTGATTAGTGAAAGTGCCCTCATCACAGATCAGTTTATGATTGAATGGTTGGTCGAGTGTTTTAATGCTAAAAATAGCTGTCAACCACTAGAAGTCCTTCTCAAGGCTCTCCCTTGAGGAAATCAACTACAATCCAACTCTGTCAAGTTGTGGTTAACACATGTTGTATGATTTCCTGGGGAGATGTGATCAAATGTCTACTCACCCCAGATAGGGCACTGACAACAGACCATAGAAACAATCCCAACCAAGTCTAGCTTAGTGAACCAGTGAGCACGTTAGGGGTACTTTCAGGACTGTGGGTGAGGTCGTACTCAGAGGAGCACATGTGACAAAGACAGCTGCACCACTGAGAAGCTCACCTAGCACAGGTGACAGCTCAGGACAGCTGCACCACTGGAGCCCCCTGCCGGATGTGTAGCTTGGCCTCTCATTGAGAGAGTCTCTTCTGCAATTAAAACTACTTTTAGAATAGTGGGGAGGGACCCCATGAAGCTTGTTTCAGGAGCTTTCTGAGTCTTGTAAATTTCATTCACTTCCTGAATATTAAGGAGTCTTACCCCAGGAGGGAGGAAATGGCTACACAGCAACACAGCAAGACTTAGTAAGTGATCCTTATTAAGGAAGAGCCAGCAGGGACTGACAGATCACAGGCAGGACAGCCTTGTAGGAGAGGGAGCAAGAGACCTAGTATGGAGTCAGTCCATCCCTTTGTTTTAAGCAGTCATGTTCCAAGGTGATCTAGTACCATGGTACTGGCATCTTGACTTGACGTTGGACCACTATTTGTCTTCTTTAGTATTTGCTTTATTAAAGAATTTAATTGTGGTAAGATATGTGAGCATAACATTTACCATCTTAGCCATTTATAAGTGAACCGCTCAAGGGTGTTAAGTACGTTTGCATCATTGTGCAACCATCATCACCATCCTATCCCCCAAACTTTCCATCTTTCCAAATTGAAACTCCAATAGTAACTCCTCGTTTCCCTCCTCCCCAGCCACTGGCAATCATCATCGAAGGCCCTCCCATTTCTGTGAAACTAATTATTCTGGGGACCTCAGCTGAGATGCATCATCAGTCCTTTTCATGCTATGGCTGCCTTCTGTCACACACTGCAGTGTCCTTTGCTTTTATCTCATCTTTATTTCCTAGACCCTTCATCTCGTCTTTTTCTTTCTTTTTATTTTTCCATCCTCATGCGTGTAAAGAGAAGAACACAGGTGCTCTGGGTCCGGACTATCCTCAACATTATGGGCTCACTAAGGGTCTTTCTAGACATGTTTGTGATTTTTTTCTTAGTTTTTCTCTGTTTGGGAGAATCATAATTCCTCATGGAGAATTTGCTGGTTCAAGTACAATAAGCTGTTTGCTGTATCCAAGAGATACAGTCGTCTCTGGCTGGTGCTTCACTCTGACTCCCCTGCCTTCCACAGAGTTTTTCTTCTTCCCAGAAATATTCAGCAGTGCTAGAGAAAGTGGGGTGGAGGCAGGGGCTGGCTGATGGTGCTCAGTCCTTCCTTGTTTGGGGCCCATGCAGATGGCCTGGCTCGTGGGTCCTGGCCATACCAGGAGGTACCACTGAGCACAAGACATACCATGTCTGTCTGATTCCCAGGAAGTACAATCTGCACAACTGTGGGTGGGCGATCACAGCTGGCCTTTTGGTAAAGACTTGGGGTATCTCGCTTCATTCTTCTTTGGATGCCCCTCACCCCTATCATTTCCCTTCAGAAGGGCAGGGACTGTGTGAGGAACAGGGAGATATTGCTTTGTGTCTTTGTGCTGGTGAATTTTAGACAATGGATTCTCTCGAATGTACTTGTTTATGTCATTTATTCTGGTGGGATTTATGGGACATCAGTCAAGGCTATCAGCAAAAAAGGAAGCAAATTCACCAGAAGAAAAGATCTTAACAATCTTTGACTTCATGTAAGGACAGCCCTGCTGAGCTTTACTGTAACTTGAATTTTCAAGTCAAAAGACTTCTATCTTGCCAACATGCCTTAATTTTCCTTTTGCTTAAAAGTATTGGAGTTGTATTATACATGTTAAAAAATGTGAAGGGTTATATCAGCACATCTATACTTTTTATTAAAATATACCTTGTATTGCGTATCCTTACTTTATAGCTCCTTCTGGACCTCCTATGTTTGAATCCAGGGTAGATATTCTGGCATTGAACACATTCTAATTTTCAGACCATTGCTTTGATATAGAATTTGTAAAAATGAAGAACCGTATTTTAGAGATAGAGAAGGTTTGTTCCACAGCAGTGAGTGCCGCTCTCTTTGACAGCAATTCCCCTTTGCTAGTTTGATAAAAGTCATGGTAGCTTCTGAGAACAACACGCCTGTGCCTACAATCTTGGCTTATACTTTCAGAAACCTCACGGGCTTTTTCCAGAGTTTCAGTGGGCCTTATGGCAGGTCTGTAGATCTTAGATAAGGACCATAGCCCCAGACCTCCTTTTGTTTCTGTATTTATAAGATGTGACTGCACAATTTTTATAAGATTCTGTGGTAAGTCCCAGTGATCAGCAAGTGAGTCATTTAGGGCCTTCCTAAGAATTAATTAGAAAATAGAAGCCTAGAAGTTTAGTCATATTTGACCAGTCATCTACCCCAGAGCTCTCCAATAAGTGTGCCATAAATGAGTTATAGGTCTCCTGGAATAGAACATCTTCCATTGCCTTCAGTGAAGATGGTCCAAGACCTCCAGTGGGTACCTCAAACTGTAGATGGTGCTGAACTCTACATATGCCATGGTTTTTCTTTTTAAATATTTTATTATTTTTATTTTATGTGTGTGAGTATATTGCCTGCATGTATGTAAGTGCACCCACATTGTGCAATGCCCACAGAGGTCGGAAAAGGGCATTGGACCTGGAGTTACAGATGGTTGTTAACTGCCATATGTATGCTGGGAACCAAGCCCAGGTCCTCTGCAAGAGCAGCCAGTGCTCTCAAGCACTGAACCATCTCTCCAGCCCCTGTGCCATGGTTTTTCTAACATGTATATGTAAAAGTGTTTAATTTTAGATAGAAACAGATTAGCAAGCGTGATACCAAAGTCAAACAATTTCTAGTAATATACTGTCATAAAAGACAGGTGAGGCTCTTAGACAAGTTGAGCTACCTGAAGAGGTTCAGACCCTACCAGACCTCCAAAGAAGCAGAAACAAACTGCTCTGCTTGGGAGAGGCTCAGACTGACTGAGCTGCCTGGGAAAGATACTCTCCAACCTGCTGAGCTGCCTGTGCAGTGCTCCAGGGGCTCCAGCTTTCATGAGCTGTCACCCATGCTGCAATGGGCTTTGGTGATGTTGCTGTCTGATGACCTCTGTGTTTTGCAACAGGAATTTGTGAGAAGCCTTTGACAGGAAACTGACACTAATTCTAACCACTCCAACAGCTATCAAAAATGCCTGAAAGCAAATTCTGAATCTATCACTCTTGAGTCCAGCCTGGGCAGACAAAACAAAAATGAGGAGGAACCCAACAGAGGGATGCTTTTGGAAGCTCTTGTCAAGAAATTCCAATGGATTTTCATATGAACACTTTAAATTTGTCCTGTTCTTATTTTTTTCTAGTTCCCTGTCTAGAACTTGTAATGCTAATTACTCTTGCCTTTACTTCCCCTTCACATCTATTCACCAGTCAAGAACTTTCTTTTCCCCCTACAGATAAGAGTTATACAATTTGGGAGTCTTTTAGATAGACTCACTGAAGGGGTACCCCAATTGCCTCATCCTGCACCCCTGTTCAGCATGGAAGAAGCCAGAGGGGTCTGTGTCCTAATTCCCTCTCTGCAAGTTGGGTAACCTCTTCAGAGGATGATGTGATAAGAATAGGAGGTAGCCTATTCAGAGGATGGCATGATAAGAATAGAAGGTAGGAACTGGCTAGGCAGTTAGGGTAAAAAGACCCCAAAGAAAGGTAGCCAGTTTCTTGGCTAAAACTCACAATGCCCTTGGGCCTCTTAGCAACATACTCTGTTCCAAAGATGAAAAATGTCAAAAATATTTGGGAGTTTTTATCTAATCCTTAAAAGATTTTAGGGTTACCTCTTCAGAGGGGGGAATGTTAGAGTAGCCAAAAGCCCCATAAAAAAAAAATAAATCAGCCGGGCGTTGTGGCACACACCTTTAGTCCCAGCACTCAGGAGGCAGAGACAGGAGGATCTCATGAAATTCTCAATAAATTATTTTTTAAAAAAAAACATAGGTGAGAGTGGTCTCTCTCTCTTCCTCAACACATGGTCCTGAACACATTGTCAGTCTGTGCTGATGTGAGATTCCACAATGCTTTAGGTGACTGTGTACAGCAAAAACCTCAGAAAGTGAGACCACGGGTAAAGGGGGACTACTATGGGGCTTCCTGGGTGTCCAGCATCCTAGTCTCATCTGTTTACATCCTGTTCTTTACTCATGACTATGTGTGCTAGCGCAGGAACAAATAAGGAAACTCAGATTCTACTCCAGCTGTTCAAATTTGCCATGGAAGACACCAAGGCCCAGGGAAGGGAAGTGAGTAGCTGGAGACACCCAGGAATGTGCAGCAAAGAAACATTTACTAGTTCAGATCTCACAAAAAGCTTGCCAAGCCTTCTAGTCCCACTGACTACTGGTTGGAACTAATGTAGATCTTTGACATTGATGGGGTCTCCCTCA